CATCCACCACTAGACAGAGTGAGCCTAGCACAGCTCACATCCATCCCAGGGCACAGAAGAGCCACAGGAATTGGGAATCTTCAACAAAAGCTGTACAAAGCCTCCACTGAGTTCTTTCTCTCCTTCCCGTGTTCTTGGGAGACTGCAAATACAGCAAATAAAACAAATACACTACCCTCAGAACATAGCCAGGAGTGGGATACAAACAGTTCTCCATCAAGTTGGGGAGGTAGGCAAGGAGAACCCATCCACACAAAGTCAGAGCAAATGGCCTGTGTGGCCATCTGCATGCCATGCAGAAGGAGGCTGAAGAGACACCTCACAGCAACCGTGCTTCAGGAATAGTAACACAGTTTAAGGAAGAAAGAAAAAGATATTAATAAGAAAGCAATAGCATTAAAAAAAAAAAACCTAGTCTGGAAGAAAATACAATTCAAACAGAAGAAAACGTCTTACAAATGTTTCACACTTCCTTAATAATGTGAATTCAATAAAAAATTCAAAGAAGCAATGATAAAAACAACAGATTAAAAGGCACATTCTGTGCTGAGAAAGTGAGTTGAGAGCCCGAACAGACAAAAGTGATAAACTAAAAATAGCAAGGTGCAAAATAGAGACATCTGAAAACCAAATTACTCACCTAAAAGAAAAGGCCGTGTAAAAGCAGATAATAAACGAAGGATTACAAAACAGAGAGAAGCTGATAAATGGGGGAGGTCTGTGAAATACACAACTGTGTCTGTAAAGCAGAGACACCAACAAGCCAAGCAGGAGAGGTATTCACAATTAAAACACCAAAAAATTTTCCTGACATGGAAGAATCCACAAAACAAAAAAGAAAACTCGATTAAGCACAGGAAAATCTCAGAGAAAACAACAGACACTGAGAGGAGACCTGTCCTGATTAAGCTATTAGGATTCAAGACTAAAGAAGGAATTCTTCAGGCAAAAATTCTCGGGAGAGACCAAAAAAGTTGTCCTGACGCTTCTCCACAGTATCATTGGATGCCAGAGGAATGTCTACAACGTCCTGAGGAAAGAGCGTCCTGAGGATTTTAAGTCCAGCCAAGTGATCCTTAAACTAAAATGACCATAAGCAGACTCTACTCTCAAGCACTTACAACCCTTCTTCTTTTTTATAATTTTTTTAATGTTTATTTAGTTTTGAGAGACAGAACAAGAGAAGGAGACACAGAATCTGAAGGAAGCTCCAGGTTCTGAGCTGACAGCACAAAGCCCAACACGGGGCTCGAACTCACGGACCACAAGACCATGACCTGAGCCAAAGTCAGACACCAAACCAGCTGAGCCACCCAGGGGCCTCTAATTTACAATGCTTCTAGAAAACCTTTCTTGCCTGTGCACCATAGCCAACCATGACCTCAGGACTGCAGCCGCTCCTGCCAGGGCTGCTGGCAAGGACACAAAACCCACCCAAATATCAGCTCTGTGGTTACAAAACAGAACGTAAAGGCTGCAAACCCCGATGAGGTAAAAACAATAAATGGGATGTAGGAGAGGGAGAAAGTATAACTGCTGATTTCCTCTTGTTATTGTAATTTTTCAGTCAATCTGTTCTAAAGTTAAAAATACACAGCAAAAAAATACATAGTAATTCCAATATTTTCTGTTTTGTGAAACCTTTTTTTAAAAAATTTTTTACAGAGATCTCTTCAGAACTAATTACCTCTTACAGCAGAAAAACATTTTCTTTTTGTTTTTTTTAAGTTTATTTATTTGACAGAGACCAGGACAGCGTGGGGGAGGGGCAGAGAGCGAGGGAGAGAGAGAATTCAAATGAGAAACATTTTCTTAAAGACCAGAAATTTCTTCAGTTATACTTCAGATTTGTTTCTATAAATTAATTCAGGTAAAATTGTAATTATTTAATTACAAGCAGAATATATAGTATATCTCATGTTATATTAAATTATTTCTAGTTAGCAAGTTATTCTTCTATGTGCACATATTCAAAGAAAAGTACCTATAATGGAGTTTAATTAATGTTAAGAATGATTAATTGGGGGAGGGAAGGCCGGGAGTTTTTAAATAATTCATTCCTTGTGTTCTGTATTGTTTAAATATCTTATAATAGCTATATATCACTTTATAAACTAAAAATCCATGTTTAAATTATAACAGCCAAAAATAAAATCTTTCATTGAATTTTTAAACAAAACATAAAACATATGGTAACTACATAAAAATTTACAAACCAGAATTCAAAAGAAGGAAACAAAAGTCACTCATGATGCCATCTTCAGGGCCAACCAGAGTTAGTATCTTCTAATCTTGGGATGGAAGGGATTTCATAAAGACAATACCAAATATTTAATAAATAGACCCTTGTATTTTCTCCAATACTCTTATATTTATATTAATTCTATTTAAATATTTAATTGAGCAGTGTTTACTTTAAGTTCTGGTATGCAATAAGAATTAAATTTTTTCTGCTATGATTAGTTGTCCTAAGGCCATACACTGAACAATCCATTCTCTGCTGGCTGCTTTGAAATCCACCTCTACTAGTTCTGACACAGAATTAAATACTCTCAGGATTGAGTACCCTTTCTCATCTCATTTTTTCAGAGACCCAACACACTCAGAAACCCCTAGAGTTTCTGAGTGTCCTCTGTCCTGGGAAGGCTTTCTTATGGCCCACTGCCCCTGGTCTCCATTTCTCCTGGAGCTCCTAGCTCCCTTCAAGTGGATGCTAGTCCACCTGAATGCAGGCACCATCTCTGGAGCTCATCTCTTTACCCCTATATCTGGTCAAGTGTCTGGCACACACAGGCCTTCCAAATATCCTACCCAAGTAGCAAGCCTTCCCACCCACCCTCTCCTGCCTATGTACCACATTTTAAAACATTAACTAGATGTTTTAACTAGAAATGTAACATTAACATTACATTTCATTTCATCATCTCAATGTTGGAGACTGGTAAACTAGTCATTTTACCTTTTTCAACAATATTTCCCTTCTAGTTTTATTCCTATTATTATTTGCAATCCGATCATATATAACCAAGAGAATCCTGCTACTCCAGGCCCCAGAGTCCCACGCAGAGGACTGAGCAGACACTCCTTTAGCACAAGCTCTACCTTGCCAAGCCCAGCACGCACAGTGACTGGCCTTCATGACTGGATGACACAGATTTCAGGGCCCATAATCTGGCAAGCTCTAGGCAGCTTCCTAGCCAAAGAAACTCACTGTCAACTAGTGCTAGAAATGGGCACACCAGCTGCTGGGAGCAATGATTTGACTTAATGCTCAGTGCCAACCACAGGTTTAGTCCTTCTCAGGAAATCATGCTTAATCAACCAGCAGCACTCTGACATCCTAAAGAGAATGCAGGGAACACAGAAACACTGAAGGAAGGCTGCGAGTAGCCAAAGCTCCATAGACACTTTACTAGTGGAGTCAGAGGACACTGCCAACACTCAAGTGATGGTCGCAGAGGGGACCTACAAATCAGGAACAGTTGAAAAGATCAGCCCACCCTACTCCGCATGGTGTCACAGCTGAAGGCACAACTCCTGAACCTGGAGAAGAAAAGACAACAGACATTCTGATAGCTGTCTTTAAAGATCTAAAACTATGATGTATAAGAGGAAATGGATTAGTTCAGTCATTTCCTCAGAGGCTAGAACTAGACCCACAGAGTATAAATCACAGGGAGGTGGACTACAGGTCCAAATAATAGCCAGCTTTATATCTGAAGCTGGTCAACAACAGAGCAGCCTGCCTGGTGAAGGAGGCAGTTACATGGCACAGAGAACATGTGTCAGGGATGACCAGGTGATTTACAAAAGCCTCTTCTAAAACTGTTGAATTCTGACCCTAAAATTTATTTAGAGAAGGGCTGGTCTTCAAATGTAAAACTTTAAAAAGACTTCATTCATTATCTAGAATTTTGAGAAGTATCAACCATACCCTTCTACTGAGCATTACCAGCTTTTATTTTATTTTTTTTTTTATTTTTTTTTTCAACCTTTATTTATTTTGGGGATAGAGAGAGACAGAGCATGAACGGGGGAGGGGCAGAGAGAGAGGGAGACACAGAATCGGAAACAGGCTCCAGGCTCCGAGCCATCAGCCCAGAGCCTGACGCGGGGCTCGAACTCACGGACCGCGAGATTGTGACCTGGCTGAAGTCGGACGCTTAACCGACTGCGCCACCCAGGCGCCCCTACCAGCTTTTAATAATGTGAATTTAATGATAAAAGATTAAAAATAAATTTTGATCTTCCAAGATTATAATTAGACACATATTAACACATATAATCTTTAAAATAAGCTGGCTAGCTAAGTGAGCTAATTAATCCTGACCAATGTAGGAAATGTTAGTCGTAACGGCTTACAAGAGCCAACACTGCACAATAGAGAGCTTGAAGACACATATGTAAAAACTACATTACTGCATCTGAAAATAAAATCGCACTTCGTCTTCTTGAGTAGCTACAAAAATGAACGCTTGGAAACTTCTTGGCATAATTCTAAATTTAATCTCTGAGGAGATGTAGGTTAGAATAAAAAATGGATTCCGATTCAACCCATGGCAGCCGCTGCAGGAGCAGGACAACTAAGGCTTCCTGCAGCTGAAGGCGCACATCCTCTATCCAAGTCCACGGGCCATGGGGATGATGGCTTTCCAGAGTCTGGGAGAGGCCTCACTCATGCCCCTGGCTGTCCCCAAACCTGAGCCCAAACTCAAGCTAGGCCTGAACACAGCAGGCAGTGAGCCATCTTTGCAGATCCTGATGAAAAGCCACCCTTCCGAATTTTCATTTCTTAAAGTAAATCTGCTTGTCTGGCAGTTTTCTGGTTGCTTTAGGGAAAGGCAAATACAAGTGATAAACTTTATATGAAGAAAACAGTTGAACAAGAAGAGAAAGGGGCCTTTGTATTGGGCAGAGGAAATGCAGGAAACACCGGGAAATGATATCAGCATTTAACACACACCACAGTGAGGAAGGGAGGCATGCACCAACAAACAAACCTGAAATTCTGCATGAACTGCCGGAACTTGTCCGCCCTCTTTGCCAGTGGCACGATAACGTTGATGAGTGTGTTGGCCATGTTGAGCTTTTCTTGTTTTACTTTCATGATAGGGCCAAATGGTCGAAATAACACAAGTCGTCTGAATTCGTGCTTCTGCTCCCCTTTGAAGGTGAGCTCATACAGAGTGCCTTTATCCCTTTCGGTGCGGTAGATCCCTGTCAACAGAAATACAAGGATAGTTTCAAAAATTAACCTTGGCTGCTGAGTGTTTTTTATAGCTGAGATCTAGCACAAAATGCACCTTTGAAAACATTAAATTAAGATGAAATCTCTACATATAATAACTATTAGAAAACCCCAAATGCTCCCGTGTTAAAAAATCCCCCCAAAAATCAAAATACCATCAATTTAAAAATCACATTTCTGAAGAGCTTCATAAACATGGAAAAAAGTTTGTAATGTCAGATACAAAACTGTATTTATACTAGAGGCATTCAAAAAAGGACTGTAAGGAAATATGCCAAAATAGGATTGGCTGTGATGTGGAATGGCGTGTTTTTTTTTTCTTTTCTGCTATTATCCACACTTTAAGCAAGATGATTAGATAAATATTATAATTATTCTACCTACTTAATTTTAAAAGAATGTTAAAATTATCTCTTAGATATTATAGCCATTTCAGATGAACTGACCATAGCAATTTTGGGGTACTTTAGAGTGGCGCTGTGCAAGTTTCTGGAAGCATTAAAGCACACAACACATAAAATACCCAACACAATGGCAGGCACACATCTTATTTAATTTCATATTGTCCTTCCTAATTCTGAGGACCAGCACAGCTCAGTGCTCCAGAGCCAGACTACTTGGGAGATCTATTTACACCCTGCCCCCAAATGAGCTCTATACCATGTCACTTGTACTAAAACACCACGGTCTTATTTGTCAGGTTGAAGTTGTGACCTGTCAACTCTCAGGATGAACCTCCTAAAGGCCTGATCCAACAGAATTTTTCTATCAAATAAGCAAACGATTCCCTGCTGCCTAGGTCCCATTGCCTGCCCGACATCACTGGTATTGTGTATGTTTTTCCTATAGTCAGAAGAAACTCTTGCAAAAATCCAGCCAATCACCAGATAAGCTCCCTTATCTTTCACCTCTGACTTGCCATGTTTTCTATTCCATCTTTCTTTCCTCCTCTTAATCCCCACATTAGCTAGAATGCACCTTCCAGTCTTGGGAGAAGCTACAAAAGTACATCTCAGGGAAATACCCGCCTGCGGGGAGTCATAGCTCTCGACACCTCTGATAAAGCACCCCTCCTTTCTTCCTCACTCCCTCTTCTCTTGTGGGCATAACAGGACTTCTCCACAAACACTGCCGGGTTCTCTTCCCCACTCTCTGCAGAATAGGAGCTTTTCCTTTTACAGCCCTTTTCCTGTTTACAGCCTCTTTGATCCTGTTCAAAGTCTGGATCTCCTTCAGGTGCCACAGAGAGGTGGAGTTTGGTACTGCAGATTTTCAAGGTAGTCTCATTTCTCACAGTTGTCCCAAAGGCCTGCCTCAAGATTCCAAATGCGCAACCTGCTGGCAGCCCGTCCGGATGATTTAAGGACCAGAGCAGAGTTACAAGGACTGACTTCTCTTCGGAAGTCTCCATCGCTTCCTTGGGTAACAGGGCATACTGCTCAATGGCTCTGAGAATCAGGGCAGCTGAGAGAGGTTTTGCTGAGCTCATGCTGGAACAGAATCCAGAGTCCCTGCAGGGGTCATTCATGGAAGAAAGAAGAAGGTTCATTTCTTGGGAAGCTCAAAGGACTTCTCTGAAAATGTGAAGTGGTTCCCTTCAAAGTCTGTTAATTCTTTCAGGCAATTAGTGCTTGTGGAGGAAACAGCCTCTTCCCCACCTCTAACTGTTGTCTACAGCAGCTAGGGAAACCACCAAATTCCAGGGCAAAAATAAGGCTGGGCGAGTCAGCAAGGAGTTTGCATTTGCTAACGGAGCGTGTCTGCACAGCTGAAACAGGCCTGCCAGGGGTCGCTGGCTGTGCCTTGTCAAACTTCTGTTATTGGGGTCAGCAAGCATACCTTTTTCACACAGCAAGAAACCTGCAAAAGGCTGCTGACAGTTTAACATGCAGATAAAAACGTATGTGAGCCAAAGATTGTTTTTTAACTGAGTCACTTTCTTTCTCAGCATTAGATAGGGATAAGAATCATAAAACATCTGAACCCACATATTTGAGAATACAGGTAGAAACATACACAAACCCAACTGAGAAGATGGACATCTACTTACAAAGAACCCAGAGAATGTAATAGTTCTTATCATAATGATTCTCAAGCACATAAGAGGAGCTGCCTTTTGCAGAGCATGTATCATCAGCCTGGTGCGACAGGGTGGCAGCTTTGTTAAAATGGTTTCCAGGCCTGGCACTCCTTACTGGGAAGGCCAGAGCAGCCAGGCTAATCTTGCTCACCACAATGTCAGCTGCTTCCTCATCGTCTTCTACATCCCATGACTCGAAACAGTTATTACATCAACTTTGTAGCGTATTTCCCCATACTTTGCCTAATTAAATTAATGATGTCTTATAAATCTGATTCAGATCTCTTAATTCCCTCTATTTTAAATAAGTTATTTAAAACTCTCTTGCAACCTGTGTCCACTAAAACCCACACCTAGCCACCCACCCACCACACCCGCAGGCACATCCTCCCATGCCTGCACACAGGCCCCCTCAGTCTGATTGTAACACAAAGGACCGCTCCTTCATGGATCCCTGTGTCTCCTGGAAATCTTCAGTGGTGGAAACACAAAGGGGCTGAGAGAAAAGGGGGACAGAAGCCTCCTGAGACAGAAATGATTTTTCAGCCAGTGAGGTGGCATGCAAACCAGCAAATGCAAAGCAAACCAGCTTTGCATAGGATTGCATCATTTTTATGCATTATGTTAATTAGAGATCAAAATAAGAACTTCGCAGCGAGCTTAGATTTTGGTTTAGATACCCTAACTGGCACCCTCTTTCCCCTTCTTTCTCTCCATAGATGCTAAGTTTACTTTCAGTTTGGTGTTTCTGTTTCCTGAGCAAGGTTCTTAGTGCTTGTAAGTAAAATCTTATTTTACTCAAGGGCACCAGACTCTAGGATGACCAACTACATGGGGATACCTCCAGGCATCCAAAGTATAGTTCCCTGGTCTGCGGCAAATGGCTGTCCCTTTAGCAGGCTAGGAGCTAACCAGACATAGGCCCCCTCTCTACAACCTGTCCTCAACATAGGACCTCAGAAATCAAGATGCTGGAGGTCAAGGAGGTACGACTCCTTACCCTCACACTCCTGCTACCTTCACTCAATATATGTGCATAGGTTGTGGCCCAGTCCTGCACTGCTGATCCCAGAAGTTTCTCCACTGTCATCCCTGCCTTCCCTACCTTCCCACATGGAGCCTGGGTCAGGTCTCCCAGCACAATAACTACAATCCTCTGCCAACCCGTGTCCTACTTCCAGGACCCAATCCATCCTGACATATCCTGTGGCCCTCAGCCTTCCTACAGTACCATTCTAATCCTGCTTCTCTCTCACAAGCTTCTTAGAGCCTAGAGAATAAAGTACCAACCCCACGTCCAGGCCTTCAAGACCCTCCATAATGTGACCTCAGTGTGCTATCCTAACTGCAGGCCTTATCCCTGCCTCACGAGAAATATGGGCTCTAGGCAAGCTGCTTCACAATGAGCATTTACAACTACTTTTTCCCCTTGGAGAAACTGGAACCCTCCTGAAAAGCTGGTGGGAAAATGGTACAGCCACAATGGAGAAGAGTTTGGCAGTTCTTCAAAAAGCTAAACATGGAATCAACATACGATCCAGCAGTTCCACTTCTGGGTATGTACCCAAAAGAAATGAAAGGAGAGACTTGAAGAGATACTTGTGCACACATGTTCATACACGCACTGCTTATAATACCAAAAGATGGCAACAGCCCAAACCTCAACCAAGAGATGAATGGACACAACACAGTAGACACACACAATGGACTACGACCCAGCCTTAAAAAGGAATGGGATTCTGACACATGCCACAACATGGATGAACCCTAAACCAGGTGTTTGGTGAAATAAGCCAGACACAAAAGGACAGATATTGTATGGGTCCACTTATATGAGGAATCTAGATTAGTCAAATTCCTAGAGACAGAAAGCGGGCTGGTGGTTACCAGGGATTGGGGGAGCAGGAAATGGGGAGTTAGTATATAATGGGCACAGAGTTTCAGTCTGACATGATGAAAAGGTTCTAGAAATGGGTAGTGTGATGGTGACACAATAATGTGAATATGCTTAATGTTACTGGACTGTACACTTAAAAATAGTTAAAATGGTAAATTTTACGTATACTTTAACCACAATAACTGCTGAAAAGGCCTTGAATTTTCTCAAGACACATTTCCCCACCAGTCTACCTTTTTTGCCCTCCTAAATCTGATCCTCCTCCTTTGGGAGGATTCCCATGACGTTCTCAATCCAAAGTGGCCATTCAATCCTCCAAACACTCTGGTCTTCAGAGATTTTAAACTTTTCATTGCTGAGCTAAGTTTTTTGGCCCCTAAGGACTTTGGAGATCATCTAGGCCAGCCCTGTCATTCTACAGGTGAATAAACTGAGTCACAGGGCAGTTGTGATCTGCCTGTGTTCACCACACTTTTTAATGCCTGACTGGAACATACCATGTGTGAGGGTTTGCTCCCTAGAGGTCACTTTTCATATTCAACATTAACAGCTCAGAGCAGAGCAGAGATGCAGGACCATGCAGAAGTCAGAATAAACAATATAAAGTCTGTCATAAAAACCACTGTTTGGCTCATTTACCCACAGATAATCTTCACATCCACCCTTAGAACTTTTCTTTTACTTTCACGCACAATAGTAACAGTTATTAAACAATAATCATCTAAATTCATAGTCTACAACACATTCAAAGTAGTAAATTTTAAGAAGAATTCTCATAAAAAATCTTTCTACCAACAAAAGAAGAGTGTATGGGAAAAGGGAATCTAGAACTGGCAGAAATGCTGACAGTAGTATCTAGCGGTCTCCTGACAACAGTGCGGGGGAGGCAGAACATTATTTGTTTTTAATTAAAATGTCTGAGACACTGAATATAAAGAAAAAACGCTCATGTAACTTGCCTTGAATATATCACTGTAAGAGCATATTCTCCT